GCATATGCTTAGTAACTTTTAACACCTAAATTCAAATCGTAATGAAGGACCGTCAGTGAATGAAGGGAAATCTGGACGTGGTGAATCAAAGGATGTCTTGGTATGTAGCAGGTCCTTAAACCCTTGTTCCTCAGCACCTTAGCAATCAAACTAACCTCCTACCACTTGACCTCCTCCTACAAGGGCTCAACACCAAGCCTCCCAGGTGTGAGGCTTGGTGTGTCAGGGCCAGCAGTGAGTCACAATGCAGGTGCTCAACGAACACCTGGGATTTACAGTGGATGATCAGTATGGTTGGTTTACTAAGGTTCAAGGCCTATTGACTGCATGAGGGGTCATTAAGGCCGCAACCCGCATGTACACTAACATCATAATTAACTTAATTCTTAAAACTGAAATTAAACTTTAATCTCTAAAGCAGCGATTACTGTAAACTCTGTGAACATAGTAGGGAATCAATGTAAAATAATTATAATCGAGTGTACCTGGAGGTTGTTGCGGGGGTCAACGCCCCCCCGGCCCGGTCCTCGACCAGGCCTCCCAATGGATCAGGGATTGTTCAACCAGGCTGTTATTGCTGGCCGCATGCAATCTAACGTACGAACCACAGCCCAGCTGATCATTCCTTGACTTTAGGTATTCAGTTTCCTCTTGAAGACAGCCAGGGGTCTCTTTTTAATTCCCCTTATGCATGATGGGAGGCTGTTGAACAGTCTTGGGCCCCGGACACTTTATTATGTTTTCTCTTAGTGCACTCATGGCACCCCTGCTTTTCATTGGGAGTATGTTGCACCGTCTGCCTAGTCTTTTTCTTTCATGAGTGATTTATGTGTACAGATTTGAGATCAGTCTCTCTAGAATTTTCCAGGTGTAGATTATGATGTATCTTTCTCGACTGTGTTCCAAGGAGTACAGGTCAAGGGACTTCAAATGTTCCCAGGAATTAAAGTGCTTGACTTAACTAATACGTTCAGTGAAGGTTTTTGTGTACAGCACTATTCGATCCTTGAGAAAACAAGTAACCTAAAGAGGATCATCATTGGCATGACATTCCTTGTTTTGAAAGTTCTCATTATCCATCGGATCATTTTCCTCGCAGATGTGATAGTAACACTTTTGTATTCCTTGCAGGTGAGGCTCTCTGACATTAACACTCCCAAGTCCTTCATTAGTTTTTCGCACTTTTGTGCGGTTAGAATTTGTTGTGTACTCTGTTCTAGCTATTATTTCCTCAGGTTTTCCATAACAAGGTAACTGAAATTTTTCCTTATTGAACATCATATTGTTTTCCGCGGCCCATTGGAAAACTTTGTATATAACCGCTTGGAGGGTTACCGTGTCCTTAATGGATGACACTCTCATGCAGATGCTAGTACCGTCTGCATAAGAAGACACGATGTACTTTGAACATAACCTTTCACTGTGGCAGGCACAGACTTAACTGCTAATTACTGTTCTTTGTTCTCTGTTGGTTAAAAGGTTAAGGATCCATCTGCCCACTTTTCCAGTAAATCCTTTAGCACGCATTTTGTGCGCTATTACACAATGATCACACTTGTCGAAGGCTTTTACAACGTCTGTGTATAGTATATCTTCATTAATATTGACTCTAGTGCATCCAAGGCTATATCATAGTGGTCTAGTAGTTACTAGAGGTAGGAGCGACCTGCTCTAAATCCACGTTGCTATTTTGGTGCAGTCGTAGGGAATCCAAGTGGGTGGTGTAATTCTTAGAACTCTTTCAAAGATTTATATGATGTGGGACGTTAAAGCTATGTGTCTGTAATTCTTTACTTAAGGCACACGAGAGGGGTTTCTTGCAGTTCATGACGATCACGGAAGTCCATGAGTCTGGGTCTGGGGCAGAGTGCATGGTCATGTTGTCAATGGATTTTTCAAAGTCAACTGGAGTTATGATTGTTAGAAATTTGTCATATATTGACAAGGTTTTGAGATTCGTTCATGAATAATTTATTTGGATTATCGATATTAAGTTTGATTAATGGCTCATTAAACACAGTCATGCTGAGACTTCAGTGTCTCAAAGTTCTATCTTGTCTGAGCAAGAGCCAGTATATGGCTCTATACTGGATATGGTTTTTTGTATAGTTTTTTACATATGAAAAGAAATATTTTGGATTTCTTTTCATTTTCATTAATCACTTTTAGCTCCTGTCTGTCCTGGATCCTGTGAATAATTTAACTTATGTTCAGTATTTTCTGCTTCCCTAGTCAGTGCTTCCTATAAATATATATATAAAAAATATTACGTGTTATTGACGTTTAACATGTGTGTTGACGTGTGTTTATGCAACTTTTTGTTTTATCACTATGACAGATTTTTCAGATTTCTTCAGAAAATGAAAATGCTTCTCATGTTTTTTAGACCAAAAAAAATTATCTGATAGTTTGTTTAATGACAACAATGAGAGGCTGGTGGGCACTAAGTGTGAAATTACCACAACACTGGTCACGAGCACACACACTAAAATATCAACATTAGGAAGAATTTATTTGGTTCTACGAAGAGTTTTTCTCTTCTGGGAAATTGTGGTAACTAGTACAGTGGCCGACAAACTGTATGTACAGCAGTTCCTTAATAAGCAGGCAACGGCGCTTGTTTTACAAGGTAGTTCGTCTCTCATTTCATAGGATCATCTAGTAAAACAGTGGTGCTGGCGACCGTCCATAGTAACTCACTAGTATTGGTGCCTGAGTTCGGAAGGATGAACTATGAAGAAATAGTGGCAAAACTAATCAAAGAACAAGAAGAAATATGACCACAACATGAAATATACTCCGGGAGTATAGGATAGAATAGGATCTTTACCTAGGACGACTCCGACGAGTCTGGTGTCAATTTATAATTTAAAGTGTACAATATTAAATGGGTTTTACAATGGAGCTGGTTTTATCTTGTGGAAATCGAAATAAAAGGTGTTTTATCCGTTAATAATTTAGAGGCAGGGAGTGAGTGAAACATGGCAAGCTTCATCCATAGACTTTAAAATCATTAAGGTTTTTTTTTTTTTTTTTTTTTTTTTTTTTTTTTTTTTTTTTGTTAAGTCGAGCTACAGCCTAATGTAAGCTAACCTTTCCCTAAAAAAATATTCTAACAATTTGCACAACAAAACTATCTGTACACTTTATAAATTCTCACTAAAGTTGCTGGAGCACCTAAACTAAATATTAACCGAGAAGACGCAAGTTACAGAACAAGCTTTGTGACAATGTTTCGCTTTATGTAGAGCTTTATAAAGTCAGTAATAAATGAAATAAACTGAATATATAAATAGTGGATTAAAGTCTTCCTATCCGGTGGTGAGCAGGTTACGTATAGCCTTAATGACCTTAGTGTAGTCGATAGGCTATAAACCGCATTAACCAACCAACGTATATATGTATGTATGGAGTAATGTTGGTGGTGGTGCAGGTGTTCCAGGAACAAAACATTCCTTACTGCGAGAATTACCAGAATTGAGCGCAGACTAATCCTGGACTAGGACTGTAATTTTCTGCAGTATTTTAGGATGATCAGTTCATTGGCCTCACTCGGGGTTTATTAACATGCTTACGTATTCTGTTAGTGAATCCTCACACCATGGGAGACCTACTGGGGTAGGTGGTAGGTATGCATTGCTCTGTTTAGGCCTGTGTTAAGAAATTGTTTTATCATGAAGACGTTTATTAGGCAGCGTTTCTCTCACTGACTTTGTTGGGTTGTCTTAGGTTGAATCTGTATAGTTTATCACAATGTATGACTACGTCGTCTGTGTGTGGGTGTGACAAGGTGGGTAAAACACAAGACCTTTTAGTGCTTGTAACGTACTTACTACGTTACGTTAAAATATGTTCTGGCGTCTAGGGATAAAAATCTTGTCTAGGGGCATTTAAAATGTTAAAAAAATACACCAGCCTAGGGCCAAGCTTGTTTCTTCACAAAAACTAGATAGTCAATACTTATAAGGAAGGTCAATTAAATTCACTTTTATAAAAATATAACTATATTAATAGTAAACCTACATATACAGCATACAAACTACCCTCTACATATTAAATAAACACACCCGTATACCTGTACCAGGTACTCACTCTAGGCCACCTACAAAATATTACCTAAACCCACTAGTACAGTGGTACTAGTTACGTGTATATATACAGTGAGGCTCCATGACACCTCGCTCTTCTGCTGCCAGAAACACTTCACCTGTACTCTTGAAAACAGGCCTTCCACATATTAGGGTCTCACAGGTAAAATAGTGAGAGTACAAAAACAACGTATGACCTAAACTTACCCAAAATACCGCCACATACTTAACCAAACACCATGATGTCTTGCTCCAGCCACCGCTCTTCCGGTACACACACACACACACCTGTCCTGTCCTGGCTATTGGCATTGACCAGGACTAATACGCGTCCTGTTTCAGAACAAATCCAGCCACTGACATTATTACTGGAGCGTTTTTTTTTATACATATTTTTTTAAAATGCCCTGCGTAATAGTGCTGCTATGTTAGCACAAGATTTGTTGATGCTGCTGTTGATATATTAGCACAATACTTGCTAGTGCTCCTATGGAACTGCTTCGGTAAAGCTATTTGTGGTTAAAAATGCAACGTTCCGACCTAGTCTGCGAGGCGTCATCACGAGAGCGGCCGGAAATTTTAATACGATTTTTTTCGTACGTATTATATATTCTTTACTGATGTATTTATATGCACACGTATGAATGTGTACACGAATGCATAGACACACAAATGTGTACGTAGAGGCACTGAAGACGGGGATACTTTTCTCAGATCGCGCAGCGACCGAGTCGCGTCTAAATTTTTACAGGGTGGCCAGATATATCGCTGTGGCCTCGGTCACATGACCAAAAATGACTAAGACCCGTGTCACGGAACAGTTGTCTTGCTTCCTGACGAATAAAATACCACTATTACATCACTAGCATGATGTATTACGACGCTTGACTGTTATTATTTCTGCCAAAACAGGATGAACGTGGCCTCACGCTGTGGAACACAGACACCATAGACCTGAGCAGGACCGCACCTCCAGACTTGGGTAAGTTATGTCATAACTCTTATTGTACTTTAACCCCATAACTTAGAAATTATTAAACTCTTTTCTTTACTTAAACCCCTAACTTAGACCTAGGTAGTCATCTTGTTTTTACTTAAACTTCTAGCTTAGATCCGCGTAGACAACTTGTCTATTTTAACCACCAACTTAGACCTGGGTAGACCCGGGAACAGCACAGCACTATAGATGTCTCTCTGGTAACCACCCTTCATAATTCTTCTTATTCTTGCCCTGGTGTTTTTGATCCACCACCATTTAACTGAAGGTAGGCTACAACGACATTTTTGTAAAATTTAAATATTTTAATTTTGACAGGTGGGAAAACTCAGAAATCTTTTCATTTGATATTTATGAATATGCCTGAGCCCTTCCCATCCTCCAAAATTATAATTCCTCAGGCTAAATAGTCTTTAAATATTTAATGTTTACATTAGAAAATATTATGAACAAACGTGTAAAGGATTATACCTATCAAAAATGTGTCACTGAATGAAATTAGGTTTTTCTTGCAGTTTCCGAGCTGAAAATAATAATAATATTGACTGGCGCGATGTTGAATATTTACATTATCTTCACCTTCGTCTTTGGTCGACATCCATAGATGGTGAGGATCGACACCATGCCTAACCCTTCTTGGGTAGGGTAGGTGCCTGAGCCCGAGCCTTTAGCTCATAAGACTGTCATTCCCATTTTCCCCCTTGGGGTGGGAGAGGCCTAGAGAGGCCAGAGAGGCCTAGCTTGTGGCTAGGCCTGGGGACAGTTGGTCCCAAAGATGAGGAGGTACTTGTGCCTCCTCCCATGGGAGACTTAATTCTCAGACACTCCCTAAAGAGGGAGCCAAGGCCGGGCCACCACTTGGACAAGGCCCGGGCCGGGAGAATACCGGCGAATCTTTAATAATAATAATACATAGATGGTGTTTTATCCAACAGTAAACAGCATGTGTCTCCTGACACGAATATTTTAAGTGGTTAAGCATCGTCTCGCTCACCGGAACTACGTCTCGCACCTATTGTCTCAAAAAGAGCAATACTTGTAAACAAAGATTTCATATCAGAGGAAGCCATAATTCAGTTAGGCAATTTAATATTTTTTTTAACAAAACTGAGGCAAGTCTTAACAGATTAAAACTAACTTGCGACTAGCCCTGGGAATGTCTCCAAAAAGATAAGGAGTACAATGCCTCTTCATTGTGGTGAGACTTATTGTCGAAAACCGGGAGCTATAGTCAGACAACTTAAAGGGTGGCGGGAAACGGCGAATCTTAATTTAAATCATCGATGTGTCTTAACCGCAGTAACCACGAGCTTTCTGACGGGATATATTGGTAAGACGTGCCGCTCTCCCGAACTACCTCGACGATGGCTCAAATGAGCATAGCTTGTAACAAACTTTCCATCAGAGGAAGGCGTAATGTACATAGCTCAATTGAAGATTATGTCTCGAAGAACTAACTCCATATAGGACAGTATAGAAATAAATTTGGGCAAGACCCGGGTGGAGAATACGAAAAATAAAAACAAGATAAAATAGATAACAGACTTATGTGGGTAAATAAGGCAAATTTGGTCACAATTATTGCAAGTCTTTAAACACTTCCAAGTCTTTAGATAGTTCAAACCTAATTAATACTTCTTTATTATTTATGAAAGGAATACAGCAATTGTATGTGATTTTTAAAACACGAGGGTAATCCATATTGACTTATGTGACGTGGTGAAGGGTTCTTGATACCAAGAACTGGAGTTACCTTCTCCCTCAGATAAAACTTGATTGTCTCCTATTTCTCAAACTGTATTACCCTTCATGGTTTGTCGCTTCCCAGTAATAATAATATACAAAAATATTACTGAATCTTGGGAAGTGTTGATTAATATTACTCTTGATTAATGTAAATGAAATGAGGGAAGTGTTCGTGACTCATTATAAATATGACCTTCAACAGTAATAATAAATAAATAAGGAAGTGTCAGGTGGTGGAGGACAAACTTGTAATAAGAAGCAGTAATGAATATTTATCTTATGGTATTTTTAAACATCTGTATGTTTTTAATACTGTACTTGTATACAAAAAAGTGACTGTTGATGAAGTTAATGACTGTGAAATATTACTGCAGTTGACGATGCGTCTACTAAGTAAGTTTATTCAGGTATACACAAATACAGTTACATAGAATTATCATACATAGCAGCATATGTGTAGAGAACCTAGGATAACCCAAAAAAGTCAGACAGAGTGACTTATTTCCATTGGGGTCCTTTACTTATTTCCATTGGGGTCCTTTACTAGACATTAAGAATTTACAGAAATGTATATAAATTCTGATGAATACCAGAAAAAATATATATACACGCACTGTGAATTTGAACATTTAAAAATGCAATCATATTTTCTATAATACAACTTAAACTGGAATTTTCTACGATGATTTTTTTTTGAAGTCACCAACCACACACATTAAGCATTAATAATTTTAAAAGAAGCCTCTTAATATGTGTCGTTGAAGCCTATCTTTGTTATTGTATATTTGCACATTTTATCTTTATACATTAGATTTGCTGCAACCTCTTAGAGTATTTTTTTATTATTAATATATATGCGTTAATATATATAAATATATATTACATTCCTTAGAAGTATTTTCTGCAAACTCTGATTTTTTTTTATATTTTTAGTAATGCTGCTTAATCCTAGAAATTCTCAAATAATCTTGTTTTCCTACTATAGATATGCCGTGTTGGAGACAGGAAGTCTATATAAAACTTATCGAGATCCCAAGTCAAGGGTAAGACTGGTAGAAAAGGTGTGTGATACCGCAGGGAGTTAGGAAAAAAAAAACAAAATGCCAATACTAGGACGTTTTACTGAGAACGTTTTGGTCCTGGGATCTTGGTCACTCCAGGGTCACATAACATACAAAAATTATGTACCCAAAGCTTAATAAAAACTACATACCTTAAATTGTATTGATGCCATATTCATACAGCTTTTTTTTTTAATTGTGCATATTAATAACTCTGTACAACCCAGTGATGCAACTAGTGGTGTTTCATATATTGATGACATATAGAACCACACGTCAACAATTGGGCTGTCACCCTTCAAACTAAACTGTTGTATTCTCCTTGCACTCATATGTGCCCATGTATCTAAAGTTCGCACCTTAATTGTAAGCTGCAAGGCGAAATTTTATAAAAAGGTTCTTGGGTGTTGGGACAGTGATTCGGTAAACGTAGTTTCCGTAGCTCGATCGCTAGGTCACTCAGCTCACACACAGAGGTCGGAGTTTCGAATCTCCTCCGTAGGTTAGATAAATTAGGGTACGTGTTCATAAGCACCTGCTGCCCTGTTCACGATCATTTTAATTAAAAATGGGTACCTGGGGGGTTAGTCGACTGGTGTCCCGGTCCCCATTTGGAAAAAAAAAAAATGAACCTAATCGCCCGACATGCTGAGCATAACAAGAGGCTTTCTATATAGTAGTATGTCATTGTTGTCAGCTAGGCCTGTATACCTTGTACATGTGCTTATAGTAAATAAATATAGTATAATATTATATTATGGTGCAGAGAAGTGGCTCCTTACATGACAGAGCTCGTGTATACGATGTTTAGAGGTCATTTCCAGTTTTCAAAATCAATTTGGAGGAGGCTTACCTGCGGTGAAAATTTGGAGGGCTTCCCTGCATTGGTTTGGATGAGCTCACCTGATCATATTAACATTAATGTGGGCATTTCTTTTAGTTATTCACATCAAGAATCCTTCAATTCTTTCCTGACAAACTGACCACCGCTAAGAGTCTGTTGAATTTTGATAAATTAGACACAGGTGCAGCACTTGGGTATCTTTATTGAGGAAACGTTTCGTCATATAGTGGCTTTATCAGTCCATACAGAAGAGAATGATGACGAACAGAAGGAGTTTGAGGTGATCAGTCCCTCAGCCTTGAGTCGATGTAATTAGTCCATCAGTCTTGAAAAGAACTTGTCGGTTCTCTGAACCATTTATCTACATTCGTGTTGAAGTTGAATTTTGCTTCAGCTGAGCATACTCTGACTCCTAAACAAGTTTAATATACTAAATACGAATATAAAATCGTGTAATATATAAGAATCTAAATCTCTCTCTCTTCGCACAATGACTTTTCATGATATAATAGTTACCAGTGCGTCTGCATAGAAGAAAACGTTCACAGTCGTTTACTAATATTTCTTTGGTGACTTCGTCGTTCTGAATCAGTGCAAGTATATTTAATTTGAACTAGAAACTGAGTGTACATAAATAAGTGAATTTATTCAGGCACAGGTACACATAAATACATAAATTATCATACATAACAGTATGTGTAGATTACCTAGGATACCATAGAGATAAACACCAAAGTAGAGTTTAGATCAAAGTGATTTTATAAGTTGCTTCTTATCCACAATAATTTTAGTAGTTGTAATTTGTTTGAAAAAAGATATTTCTAAAGAGTTAAGCCAGTGGAATGTTTTATTCGTCAGGAAGAGTACAAGTACTTATTTACAGGGGTTTAATCACAAGATTACCTGTTGATGAAACCAGTGGAAATATCACATTACCTTTATAAAAATTATTCTAGGTTAAATCTACATATCGTTACTGTTTATTTAGGCTTCATATATAATTTTAATTTCCACAGTAGTTTTACATACTATAGGCCCGCCCTTAAATCTCAAAAACATTAAAGCCATCTTTCAGTAAACTGTATGTAGTAACTGAGGAAAATTAAATTTATCTGGATGAATCTCATTAGATACATACCAGTAAATGGTAACAAAGATAATTATTCTTTATCAAGATTACGGAGACAAGTAGGAATTTTAGGACACCTAGGTCGCAAAAAATGTCCCCCTTCGATACCTGCTACTGTCATATCCACAAGTCACTCTGGACCTATATTAATTTCAAATGAAATATACATCACCAGGGATTCTGGTAAAAATATTAATATAAATATGTGGACTGCATATTAAATTTAAAATGTGAATACATATACATTGAAGGAGAATTTATAATAATAAGACTCACCAATTTGTCTGGAGATCACTTGGTGTATCATACACAGCCCCCTGCCTAAATATGAAGAAAATACTGGCTAGAATCTCAACATAAATAGACAACTTAGCTGGGGCTCCTAATGCTGTCCTGTCCATCTGCTTAATGCTCACGTTATGCAGGACTGCAAATCCAACAATTTTGGCTCCTATTTGAGAGGTTTTAAGCCCAATATAACCCCTAGAGCGACGAAAATTCTTCCGATTTTCACTAACGTTTGTCTTGGTCCATTCAAAACATGGCGACTCTTCCCCAGCGACGCTCACCCATCACTCGTTCTTTATTTACAGATTAATTTTTATTACCTACAATATAGCCATCAATTTACATATAAAATACACTGTATTTTTGGAGAATATACAGTATTTTCCACAGTAACAGTTGTTGGCCGTGTCTCCTTACACTGGCTGCCTCGAAGCGTCAATAAACTTTTCAGTCTTCATCAGTGTACTATACAGTTTACACCGTCAAGACAGTTACCAGTGTAACTTTGCACCTTTCATTATGTATTTCTCTAACTACTACAATTCCTTAGGTTTAAAGCCTTTCTACTACACATGGGTGGTTCAGGCTACACTCTTAACACCTTTTAACTACAGTAACTCATTATGGAACGTTGACTTAACATTTGAGCACTTTGAACACCAGACATAATAAGATAGAAAACAATGTAGTATGTACGTTTTATAGGATTTTAAAATCGTGATTATAATATTGTCAGCAAATAAAAAGAATAAAAGTGTTTCTTTGTTAACTTTTGTGTGAGGTGTTTTACTGTTGCAGTCATTACCCTGATACCTGTTGTCATTACCCCTGACACTTGTCGCTGTCATTACCCTGACACCTGTCCTGTTATTACCCTAACACCTGTCCTGTCATTACTCTGACACCTGTCCTGTCATTACTCTGACACCTGTCCTGTCATTACTCTGACACCTGTCCTGTCATTACTCTGACACCTGTCCTGTCATTACCCTAACACCTGTCCTGTCATTACTCTGACACCTGTCCTGTCATTACTCTGACACCTGTCCTGTCATTACTCTGACACCTGTCCTGTCATTACCCTAACACCTGTCCTGTCATTACTCTGACACCTGTCCTGTCATTACTCTGACATCTGTCCTGTCATTACTCTGACACCTGTCCTGTCATTACTCTGACACCTGTCCTGTCATTACCCTAACACCTGTCCTGTCATTACTCTGACACCTGTCCTGTCATTACTCTGACACCTGTCCTGTCATTACTCTGACACCTGTCCTGTCATTACTCTGACACCTGTCCTGTCATTACCCTAACACCTGTTACCTGTCCATTACTCTGAACACCTGTCCTGTCATTACTCTGACACCTGTCCTGTCATTACCCTAACACCTGTCCTGTCATTACTCTGACACCTGTCCTGTCATTACTCTGACACCTGTCCTGTCATTACCCTAACACCTGTCCTGTCATTACTCTGACACCTGTCCTGTCATTACTCTGACACCTGTCCTGTCATTACTCTGACACCTGTCCTGTCATTACTCTGACACCTGTCCTGTCATTACCCTAACACCTGTCCTGTCATTACCCTAACACCTGTCCTGTCATTACTCTGACACCTGTCCTATAATTACTTTGGCATCCATCCTGTCATTCAGTAGCATAAGACACGTAGTGGAATAAACTTTCATTGGAAAAAGTTTCGTTTTGTGTAGAGCTTTATAATGTGTCGCTCTATAAAGAACTTTAACAAGCCATAACTTGATAAAACTGTACTCAGTGGTTCTCAGCTGGAGACTTTTGATGGCCCACAGGAACATTGTCCAAGGTCACACACAGCGTGGAGCAGGAAAATTATTATTATAATGGGGAGCGCTAACCCCGTAGGATTATACAGCGCCTGTGGGGGGGGGGCATGGAAGGTATTCAGGCTCATTTCAGGGAACCGGAGCACAAATCTAATTCTTAGATCAAGAGCCCCTCACCAGCGTCAAGGAATCTCCCTTGAGGGATGCAGCAGGGGAGGAGAAATTCTGAAATGTGTTGACACAATAGAATCTACAAGTTGCGTATCTTGTCTATATTTTTGTAATCCTGAGCAAAGTGAATCTTGAGCTGTAAGGGGAATGTACAAATGTGTTTTCTCACCAAGGCATCATTGAGACTTTTATTGACAAATTGGAATCACTCTGAATCGTAAGAGTCAAAGGTAATAATTTGGTTCAATTTCCATGTTTGGATACCATGCTGGGGAAAAGAAAACCATTGGGAGGCAAATTCTCGATCATTTACGGAAGCTACGGCACGAATTCCAACCATACTTTTTGAAGGTGAAGAGGACAAGGGATGGGTTATCTTTCATCAAGAATAAATTCACAACAGATGTTAATAGTGTTTCAGAGGTTCTGCAGGAGAAATTCCTGGATAAAAAAAATGATTTGGCGGCTCAAAGGAATTGGCTTGCAGTGGAAAGCGCCGAGTGGTTGTGTATTATCAAGTACAACTAAAAATATTGAAAGGCTTGTTAGTGAGAAGAGAATCCCCCCAAAAAAATATTAGTAAAGAAATTTTAAACCAAAATGTTCATTGTCTATTCTTCGTATCATTTTTTCAAAAAAGGAAAAGTCGATGAATTTTTTATTAGCCTGGTGGTCCGTGGACTGAAACGAGTTGAAAACCATGATCCACATAGTTAACGTTCTCACATGAGAATCATTGCTCAACACAGTTAACTTTGTCAAAATAATAACCTTCCCTGAAACGCGCATTTTTTTCACTGATAGGCAGTTATCCATTTATATCTATGAATATTACATATAAATATTGCCTTGTTAATGTGACACTGGTGCTTTAAATTATTAAACCTGTTTCATTTTTTTGTAGTTATGTAATCATCCTAGAGTAGTAGTTTTCTCCAATTATTTTGAAACTATTAATATTTCCCGGCTTTTGTTTTTACTCTTTGCTGGGTAAAATTAGAAGCTTGACGTGTATTTATGATGTTTCTTAGTGTAGCTTCCTTGCTCCTGCTTCAGTATGCTCGCTACACCCTACCGAGACCGGTGTGACTTTATGCTTTCAGAGGAGTTTCATGGGTAGGCTGTAGCCTAGTGGTGGTCCCATATGGCGTACTGGTGATCCCATGTAGCCTAGTGGTGGTCCCATGTGGAGTACTGGTGATCCCATGTAGCCTAGTGGTGGTTCCATGTAACGTACTGGCGATCCCATGTAGCTTTGTGGTGGTCCCATGTAGCTTAGCTCATTCCTGTGCCTCACACCTTGGGACACAAGATGTGTCCACATGGCTCCTCGTTCAAATGCTGTAACAGATTGATATCGATGCTGGCTTTGCGGATTGCTTGTGTCCCTGGGTGTAGGTAGCTGAGCTGCTGAAGGTGGTTAGGTGAGGTGAGCAGTAGGCGGCGCTGCAGTAGGCGAGGCTGCTGTAGTGCATGATGCATGACCTCTCCTCCCACAGGCACTTACCGCGGGGTTTACCTGGCCAAGCTGCGGCAAGGTTCCTCTTATAACCGCTCCATCAACTTCGACAAAGGTAAGGCTGTATGACATACCGATGCGATGGTAAAGATACACAATTGGGATATTATGGTATCCATTATTGATGACGACGTTTCGCCCATGAAGTGTGCTTTAAATCACAAACAGATGAATCAGGCGATAGAAGATGAGCATAAATAATTAGTAACAGGGAGGTGAAAAACAAGCGGGTTGTGCTTAAAATTGTTGGAGATATTGAGTACAGATTCAAGTTTTTTATTTTTTGTTTGAGCGTCGTCTGGGAGAGCAAGTAGTGCGCCGTCCAGCTTATGCAAGTGCTGTGGGTGGGTATTACTGTGTACTGCACAGACGGTATTAAGGTTGTCCATTCTGCTGGCATATTGATGTTCTGAGGTACATGGTGTAGTTCTTGGGGTATATCATCTATGCAAATTTTGTGACATTTGTTTGGGACTGTCTATTCCTGCAGTGGTTATGTTGATAGTGTTTTTGTCAGTTGATGTCTTTGACTACAATAGAGGCACTGGTAACTATGTTGAGTTTAGAGTTAAAGATCTTAGAGATATGACTCACGAAATCGTAATGACACGATTGCAAACAAACCATTCCACGGGCGGGATTTGAACCCGCTGTCAAATCCCGCCCGTGGTATGTTTTTTTTTTTATCTTAGAGATATGTTTAGCAATAAAGTTGTTGGGGAGGACCGTTTATCTCTCGTCAGTGATGTCAGATCTTCGAAGGAAAAACAGTTGCAACAAACCCAGAGGTCAGTGAGAAGTGTCGATTTGTTTCTCCTGGTTCGACGACTTCGTCTTGGCGAACCTCTAAATGTAATATTGTAAAGCTGAAAGTTTTTCCTCCATCATTCTGTCTTTGTTACTTGGCTTCAAGTTGATATTACATCTCTACTTTTCAAAGCAAACTTAACCAGGTTGAATTTACCATCCAGTTTACACTTGAGGAGGAAACCCGTGACACGCTATTTCACTGAGGTTTTCCTCTGTAAGTTTGGCAGTAGACTTTCAAATTTGATCGAAAACTCATCAATCATGATCTTCGCTTCCACTCTCATCATGACACCAAAACTAAGTGTGGTATTGTCATAGGTTTTATCCAAAGAGCTTTCCGTCTCTTCAGTAATGAAGAAGAAAACTCTTCCTTGAGCCAGTCTTCATCAATCTACACTACACTCGGCAATGTAAGGCTCTAAACATAAGAAAAGAGAATAATCATGGCACTTATAAACTTAATAGTGTAGATGTCAATCACTCTGATTTAGGAGTTCTGGTTAGTAGTAATCTAAAGCCAAGACAACAGTGCGTAACCCCTCAAGGGAGGTTACTTGACGCTAGTGAGGGGCTCTTGATATAGGGCATTGGATCTGCGCTCCACTTCAATGAACTGAGTCTTGAATGCCTTTCATTCTCCCCATCCCCACAGGCACTGTATAATCCCTATGGGTTTAGGTCTCCCCACGATTATAACTGAATAAGTGTTGGCAACAAACTTAATAGATTTTTTGTTTTTATATCAAGAAGTATAAATAACAGGAGGCCTCAGGTTATTCTTCAACTTTATGTATCCTTAGTAAGGCCTCGTTTAGATTATGCTGCGCATTTTGTCGACACGTCCCAGGTGGGACCTGTCGCCAGACACACTTGCTCAGGTTATCTTGCACGGGGGGAAACGTTTTGATTCATTTATAATTAATATTCTCCTGTAACTATGAAATAATTACTTTCCTACTGTACAACTATGATAATACTACTCCTTAGTATTAAGTAGAATGTAAGCCAATAATGTTAAGTTGGCCCATAATGCCAAGGCATAATAGAGGCTCTCTTTGTATTGTAACCCACTATTTTATATACACAATATCAATGTACTGTTTGCAAAGACATTAAGACGTTGAGCGTGTTTCCTTGTTCAGTTAGCAGTAAGTAGGTACTACCTAGGTGTTGGACGATGGGTGTGGGTAGCATCCTGAAGAAGAGGATAAAGGTCCATAGTGGAAATAAAAGCTCTCTGGGGTAATACCTCGAACTAAATCAACCTTTTTGCCATGATGGTCAACTAGAGAGTGGTTTTCCAGGCGTCTGCCACACACCCTCACCTCACAGAGTATTGATATATGTACTTACACAGTTTTATACAGCTATTTTCACCTTGAGAGTTCATTAACACAATGTAAAATACACTAATGCAGTGACGTCGCCACAAAGAAACGCTGTGATGGAACTAACATTCTAGAGAAGATTGTGCACCACTTCCTACGAATTGTTAATAGTAAAACTCTCTCTCTTAGGGAAATGAATTCATATTCCATACTGTTTCCGTCTTTGCTAGAAGGAAGCAAAAAATGCTTGATGGTGTATGTTATACTGATACCTTAAAAGAAGAGTCCTTGAATCTGCACGCATTAATATCCAAAACTCAACCAGAACAACAGTTTATATAACTTAGCTGAGCCTCTTGCCAGAAAACTACTTCGACGGCTGAGTAATCATTTGACCGACTGCTCGACCCACTTGTTCCTTACCTCACTGCTACTTACTCTTTACGCTCATCTTCTATCACTAAGGTCATCTGTTTGTGACATGATAAAGTCTACCGCATGGGCGAAAAGTCGTCAATAAAGCATTCCATAACTACATATGTGTCTTTTTAAAAAGGTAGTAGTAGTGGATGGGGTGAGGCCTCGCTGGCTGTGACTAGTGCACTAAGTGTTGTTTTCTTTTGATTGTGAGTAAATTTCTAATAAGACAGTAAAATGAGTCACAGTAGCAGCAAATTGATTTTGTTATTAACAAATGGTTTAGTTGAAAACGAGTAGTAATAGCAGCAAATTCATAATAGTAATAATAATTAAATAATAATATTGTTTTGTAATTAACTTATTCCTTGAGCTGTACTCGCAGGACTGTGTACTCACCTAGTTGTGGTTGCAGGGGTTGATTCATAGCTCCTGGCCTTGTGTGTGTGTGTGTGTGTGTGTGTGTGTGTGTGTACAATACAAATAAGAGGTAAGCATCGACTGCATGACGTTACGCCCAGCTTTGTGCTAAAGGGTAAATCTTAATTTTGCTGTTAAATAGAGCTGCTGTTGCTTTACCATCTTCTGTTTATAAATAATAAAAAGGTTATGATATATATTATTAGTGTAAAAACAAAAACAGGAGAAGCAAAAATGTTTTCATTAATTTTAACTCAAGTATATTTATCAGTATTTTATTGCACATTCACAAATATGTTTGTTAGATATAATAATAATATTACATGGAGTTTGAGGTGGTATGTGTTGTCAGGATATAAGAAACATGACCCCTCTGGTCTCAACACTGACGCTCACATAGTGCCTATATATCGGTGTATATACATTGGGATACATTTCTCAATGTATATACATTGACCTTTTCGCGCGCGTGCGTATTATATATATATATATTATATATAATATATATATATATATATATATATATATATATATATATATATATATATATATATATTATATACTGAGAAGAAAAACACATCTCAATGTATAGGCACTTGGCTATACATGAAGAAAAGTGGGTTATATGTTGATGTATATACAAGAGAGAACCTCTTCTCTGGGTGAATATCCACTAAGATACACCTCTTGGTGAATATAAAGTTAATGTGTGATAGAGCATTAATGTAGGTGCTGTTACAGGTTATTCACTGCTGCCCAACAAGTATGGCAGCAGTGGTGTGGGCAGTGCCCGGGGAGACACACCAACAAGTCGATCACCTTCCATACATAGACGACTCAACTCCCTCGCTCCCTTAGACCAAGGTATGTTAACTGTTTTGTTGGGATTTAGTAATTTTTAACCTTTTTAGAGTAAATGTTACATTTTTAACAGTAATTTTCACCTAATTATCAATAATTGTCACATTATTAAGATTAATTTTTACATTTTTAACTAATTTTCACTAGAAAAAGCGTATGTTTCACTTTTTTTTATAACTAATTTGTATCACATTAGTTCCATTAGTTAACAACTATTTCATTTTGTTTTAGTAGTGTGCTTACTAGCTTTTGTTGCGAAGTGTTGTGTCTCAGCTCTTGGGCCCCACCTCTCAACCACTAATGATGGTCATACACTATGTCTGGCCTTTAATTAATATTGACCATACTGTAGCAACTATATTTTGCTCTGACATGTAATAAATTATATATTTTTCATAATAATTTGTTTTTAACTCAACGATCATAATTTCACACTGACACACACACACATACACACACACACACACACACACACACACACACACACACACACACACACACACACACACACACACACACACACACACACACAGTTTTAAGACGAGGTATGATAAAGCTCATGGACCAGGGAGACAGAGGACCTAGTAGCGGTCAGTGAAGAGGCGGGGCCAGGAGCTGAGTATCGACCCCTGCAATCACAAATAGGTGCGTACACACACAAACACACACCACAGGCGTTTGACATAGTTCCACAGGAGATTAGTGAAAAACTGGAGGACCAAGCAAGGATAACAGGGAAGGCACTACAATGGATCAGGGAATACTTGTCAGGAAGACAGCAGCGAGTCATGGTACGTGGCGAGGTGTCAGAGTGGGCGCCTGTGACCAGCAGGGTCCCACAGGGGTCAGTCCTGGGTCCAGTGCTTTTTCTGGTATTTGTGAACGACATGACGGCAGGAATAGACTCCGAAGTGTCCCTGTTTGCAGATGACGTGAGGTTGAGGAGAAGAATTCATTCGATCGAAGACCAGGCAGAACTACAAAGGGATCTGGACATGCTGCAGACCTGGTCCAGCAACTGGCTCCTGGAGTTCAACCCCACCAAGTGCAAAGTCATGAAGACTGGGGAAGGGCAAAGAAGACCGCAGACGGAGTACAGTCTAGGGGGCCAGAGACCACAAACCTCACTCAAAGAAAAAGATCTTGGGGTGAGTATAACACCAGGCACATCTCCTGAAGTGCACATCAACCAAATAACGGCTGCAGCATATGGGCGCCTAGCAAACCTCAGAACAGAATTCCGACATCTTAATAAGGAATCGTTCAGGACCCTGTACACCGTCTACGTCTTTCCCATATTGGAGTATGCGGCACCAGTCTGGAACCCACACCTAGCCAAGCACGTAAAGAAACTAGAGAAAGTGCAAAGGTTTGCAACAAGACTAGTTCCAGAGCTAAGAGGTATGTCCTACGAGGAGAGGTTAAGGGAAATCGACCTGACGAAACTGGAAGACAGGAGAGATAGGGGGAACATGATAACGACATACAAAATACTGCGAGGAATTGACAAGGTGGATAAAGACAGGATGTTCCAGAGATGGGACACAGGAACAAGGGGACACAGTTGGAAGTTGAAGACACAGATGAATCACAGGGATATTAGGAAGTATTTCTTCAGCTACAGAATAGTCAGGAAGTGGAATAGTTTGGGAAGCGATGTATGGAGGCAGGATTCATACATAGCTTTAAGCAGAGGTATGATAAAGCTCACGGTTCAGGGAGAGTGACCTAGTAGCGACCAGTGAAGATGCGGGGCCAGGAGCTAAGAGTGCTAAGAAAGAGTGCTAAGAAGCAGGATTGCAAACCACCTGGATTCCCAAAATCTGCACAATCCAGGGCAACATGGGTTCAGGGCAGGTCGCTCCTGCCTCTCACAACTACTGGATCACTATGATATGGCCTTGGATGCACTGGAAGAAAATCAGAATGCAGATGTAATATACACAGACTTTGCAAAATCATTTGACAAATGCCATCATGGCGTAATAGCGCACAAAATACGTGCTAAAGGAATAACTGGGAAAGTGGGGAGATGGATCTTCAACTTCCTAACAAACCGAACACAAAGAGTAGTGGTCAACAGAGTTAAATCGGAGGCTGCCATAGTGAAGAGCTCTGTTCCACAAGGCACAGTACTCGTCCCCATCTTATTCCTCATCCTCATATCAGACATAGACAGAGATATACATCACAGCACCATATCATCCTTTGCGGATGATACTAGGATCTGCATGAGGCTGTCATCTGCTGAGGACGCGGTTAACCTCCAAGAAGATATAAACAAAGTTTTCCAGTGGACAACGGTAAACAATATGATGTTCAATGAGAACAAATTCCAACTACTCCGTTATGGAAAACTGGAGGAGATAATAACTAGAGCAGAGTATACTACAAACTCTGGCCATACAATAGAGCGGAAAAATAATGTAAGGGACCTGGGATTAGTAATGTCTGAGGATCTCACTTCAAGGTTCACAACGGTGGCCACGATCGCAACGTGCAAAGAAAATGATAGGATGGATAATGAGAATGTTCCAAACGAGAGATGCCAAGCAATGATGATCCTTTTCAAATGACTATGTTCTCTCTAGGCTGGAATATTGCTGTACATTAACCATCTCCATTCAAAGCAGGTGAAATCGCAGATCTAGAGAGTGTACAGAGATCCTTTATCACAGATGCCACAGATATCCTTAAATACTTGTCTCTCTAGGGGAATATTTCATAACACCTTAAAACTGGAATGCAATCTGAGTGACAGAATCCTTACGAGTAAAGACTCGTCAAGCACCTTAATACTGGCGCTTGGACACTTGACTGTACTGTTGGAGGGAGAGTATAATCATAATCTACACTTGGAAATCTGGAAGGAATGGTCCCAAATCTGCATACAGAAATCACTCCCTACGAAAGTAAATGACTGGGCAGGCGATGCAAAATGCCCCCAGTTAAAAGTAGGGGCGCCATTGGTACACTAAGGGAAAACACCATAAGTGTCCGGGGCCCAAGACTGTTCAACAGCCTCCCATCAAGCATTAGGGGAATTGCCAATAAACCCCTGGCTGCCTTCAAGAGAGAGCTGGACAGATACCTAAAGTCAGTGCCGGATCAGCCGGGCTGTGGCTCGTACATTGGACTGCGTGCGGCCAGCAGTAACAGCCTAGTTGATCAGGCCCTGATCCATCGGGAGGCCTGGTCATGGACCAAGCCCCGGGGGCGTTGATCCCCGGAATAACCTCCAGGTAACCTCCAGGAGCTTGGACTCGACCCATGCAACCTCAACTAGGTGAGTACACACACACACACACACACATCATTAAGATAATACTTGAAATGTGATATTGTATTTTTGGATAACAAACTTTTGATCGAGCTTACGCATTGCGGATGTTTTGTTGAAATTTGTCAGCATTACTCTCGAACCTACTTTGACTTTTGATGGCTTAGCACGGCTATTAGTTACTCTAGTAAATTCTGCTGTTGATTTATGAAGTGTTTCACGGATTCTTCTAAAAACACTTTGAGCTATGCTTGTACGAGTTGCTATGAAATCATCAGGGTTGTAATTAGGTTTCGGAGTGGAATATAACAACTCATAGGGTAAACGCTTGTCTACACCATACAATGCATAATGTGGAGTATCACCTATGGAAGCATTGTAAGCAGAATTTATGGCACATTGAACATCTGGTATGACTTCATCCCAAGTTTCACTATTGGGGTTGATAGTGGCTCTCAGGACATCAAGTACTTATTATTGGTTCGTTCGGCTAACCCATTGCTGGCAGGATGATGAGGAACAATGGTGGATTTAGAGATCTTGTACAAAGTACACAAATTTTCAAGAATCTCATTACAGAATTCACCTCCATTATCTGTTACTAAGGACTTAGGGGTGGTATGCCTGCAGATAATGCGTTCTTTAAACGCTTTAGCTACTGTCTCTGCAGTCTTATCTGCAATAGGAACTAACTCACAATATCTGGTGAAATGGTCTACCATAACACACAGATGTTTGTTGCCTTGGAGGGAACATTTAAAATTGGTTAATAAGTCAAGGGCAACTCTTTCCCACGGTTCGCTAGTGGTTGGGTACACTTGGATTGGATTAGGCCCATTGACATTTCCTTTATGTTGCATACAAACACTACATTTCTTAACATACTCTGAAATGTCAGTTGCCATACGTGGCCAAAAGTATTTCATTCTGGCTTGTTTCACAGAACGATCCATACCAGGGTGTGCAACACCTGTTGCATCATGAACTAGCTGTAGAGCTACGTTCACTAGTGACTGTGGAATTACTAACTGGTACACCCTTCTGCTTGGAGTACCCAACTCGGCTGTTCGATACAGTAATTCCTGGTTCATTACAAAGTCACTAATGGGTGCTGGTGGCTTCACAGTAAGAATAAGATCTTCCTGGAGCAGGAATCGAATCACACCAGACCACATGGGGTCTGTTCTTTGGGCATTTTTGACATCCTCGACAGTAAATGGAGGATCTGCAGTAACTACACTAACGTGTCGCGATAAAGCATCTGCGACTACATTTGACTTGCCAGGTAAATGTTCAAAAGTGGGATTGAACTCTTGGATAGTTAAGGTCCATCTGGCTAACCTTCCAGTAGGCTGTTTGTTCTGGAATAAAGGTATCAGTGGTGCATGGTCTGTCAAGACATGAACAGGGTACTGGTAAATAATGTCTCGGAAGTGCTTTATAGACCACACTATTGCTAAAGCTTCTTGCTCCGTTACTGTATAATTACGTTCAGTCTTCGTAAGGACTCGGCTAGCAAATGCAACTGCGTTGTACTTGCCATCAGTCTTCTGAGCTAGTACGGCACCTATGCCAGTTGAACTAGCATCAGTTGTCAGATAGAAGGGCTTAGAAAAATCTGGAAATTTCAAAATTAGAGCAGATGTTAGCTTTTCTTTTAGTGTCTGGAATGCTCCTTCTTGACGGAAGGTCCAAACGAAAGGAGCATCTTTCTTAAGCAATTCAGTTAGCGGAGCTGCTATTGAAGAAAAATTTGCAATGAAAGATCTGTAGAAACCTGCTAGACCCACAAAGGATCTTACAGCATCAGCAGTTTTGGGAGTTGGAAAATTTAGTACTGCCGTTACTTTACTTTGGTCAGTCGTAACCCCTCTAGGAGTGACTACATAACCAAAAAACTTAATTTCTGATCTGAAAAATTGACATTTAGACAGTTTGATCTTTAAATTGGCTTCTTCAAGCTTACCAAGTACTATATCAAGTCTTTTCAGGTGTGTATCCACGTCTTCGGACATGACGATTACGTCGTCTAAGTACACCATAAGTGCTTTACCTATAAGACCTCTAAAGATATTGGTCATAAGTCTAGAGAACGTGATAGGAGAAGATCATAATCCAAAAGCCATTCGTAGGAAGTGATAATGCCCTGTGGGAGTGGAGAATGCAGTTAACTCTTGGCTGTCCTCGTGAAGAGGGACTTGCCAAAACCCTTGTAACAAGTCCAGGGTCGAGAAGACTTTGTTATCTCCGATACTGCGTAAAAGATCACCTAGTACAGGAAGTGGGAAGCGATCTGGAATGGTTTTCGCATTCAACTTCCTAAAATCAATCACCGGGCGCCAAGTGCCGTCCTTCTTAGGCAATAGGATCAAGGGCGCATTCCAGGGTGAATTGCTATGTGCAATAACTCCATCATCGAGCATCTGATTGATCAATTCCTCTGCGACAGCAACTTGGGAATGAGGCATTCTGTACGCAGGTATATAGATAGGTCTAGTACCAGGTTCAAGTGGAATACGATGGGACAATAAGTTCGTTATACCCATCTTCTCACCTGGTAAGGCAATGGCGTTACGACGTTTGTTCAACACAGTCAACAAACGCTTGCCCTACGACAGAGGTAATCAGTCCCTCAGCCTAGAGTCGACTCCAAACTAAGAGACTGCCTGAAACTCCTCATCTTCCACTGTTATCTGCACTGGACTGAAGAAGCCACTGGTTCGAGAAACATTTCCAGAATAAAGATACCCAAATGTTGAACAAGTGTCTCATTTATCAACTTATTTGATTTTAAACCATACATTTAAAGAAGCCTTTAGTCCCTAAATAAGAGATTAAACTCATTGTATGTATAGTGTGATATATACCTGTCGGTGTATATAGTACACTGATGCTTTCTGAATATACACTGATAAACATACACCTCTCAGAATACATACGAAACCATACTTGGTTTATTATCTTGAAAGCCCATGATTACACGAGAGTCAAGTCTGTATGTTAATCTCACTTGAACTCTTCCGGTCATTGATAACTTAATCACTATAACAGGGTTCAGAGTATTCTATGTATATAATTGAGTATATTTGCACACCGCTGTATATACTCCTGTAAATGATACTAACAGACTGGTTGGCTAATTAATCTGCCCCAGGGCCAGACTCATGGAACTCCGTGTTCATCAAGAACTGCAAGAAGCCCCTATCACGAGCCTTTTCCATCCTATGGAGAGGGAGCATGGACACGGGGGTCGTCCCACAGTTACTAAAAACAACAGACATAGCCCCACTCCACAAAGGGGGCAGTAAAGCAACAGCAAAGAACTACAGACCGATAGTACTAACATCCCATATCATAAAAATCTTTGAAAGGGTCCTAAGAAGCAAGATCACCACCCATCTAGAAACCCATCAGTTACACAACCCAGGGCAACATGGGTTTAGAACAGGTCGCTCCTGTCTGTCTCAACTATTGGATCACCACGACAAGGTCCTAAATGCACTAGAAGACAAAAAGAATGCAGATGTAATATATACAGACTTTGCAAAAGCCTTCGACAAGTGTGACCATGGGGTAATAGCGCACAAAATGCGTGCTAAAGGAATAACAGGAAAAGTCGGTCGATGGATCTATAATTTCCTCACTAACAGAACACAGAGAGTAGTCGTCAACAGAGTAAAGTCCGAGGCAGCTACGGTGAAAAGCTCTGTTCCACAAGCCACAGTACTCGCTCCCATCTTGTTCCTCATCCTCATATCCGACACAGACAAGGATGTCAGCCACAGCACCGTGTCTTCCTTTGCAGATGACACCCGAAGCTGCATGACAGTGTCTTCCATTGCAGACACTGCAAGGCTCCAGGCGGACATCAACCAAATCTTTCAGTGGGCTGCAGAAAACAATATGAAGTTCAACGATGAGAAATTTCAATTACTCAGATATGGTAAACGAGGAAATTAAATCTTCATCAGAGTACAAAACAAATTCTGGCCACAAAATAGAGCGAAACATCAACGTCAAAGACCTGGGAGTGATCATGTCGGAGGATCTCACCTTCAAGGACCATAACATTGTATCAATCGCATCTGCTAGAAAAATGACAGGATGGATAATGAGAACCTTCAAAACTAGGGAGGCCAAGCCCATGATGACACTCTTCAGGTCACTTGTTCTATCTAGGCTGGAATAGTGCTGCACACTAACAGCACCTTTCAAGGCAGGTGAAATTGCCGACCTAGAAAATGTACAGAGAACATTCACGGCGCGCATAACGGAGATAAAACACCTAAATTACTGGGAGCGCTTGAGGTTCCTAACCTGTATTCCCTGGAACGCAGGGGGAGAGATACATGATTATATACACCTGGAAAATCCTAGAGGGACTAGTACCGAACTTGCACACGAAAATCACTCACTACGAAAGCAAAGACTTGGCAGACGATGCACATCCCCCCAATGAAAAGCAGGGGTGTCACTAGCACGTTAAGAGACCATACAATAAGTGTCAGGGGCCCGAGACTGTTCAAGTGCCTCCCAGCATACATAAGGGGGATTACCAACAGACCCCTGGCAGTCTTCAAGCTGGCACTGGACAAGCACCTAAAGTCAGTTCCTGATCAGCCGGGCTGTGGCTCGTATGTTGGTTTGCGTGCAGCCAGCAGCAACAGCCTGGTTGATCAGGCTCTGATCCACCAGGAGGCCTGGTCACAGACCGGGCCGCGGGGGCGTTGACCCCCGGAACTCTTCCAGGTAAACTCCAGGTATACAGAAAGTACATTAAGACAGCATATAACATTTCCATCAAATGTCAAGAATACTAATTTAATCACCAAAACAGTGATTAATGTAAACTCTGTGTGTGTGTGTGTGTGTGTGTGTGTGTGTGTGTGTGTGTGTGTGTGTGTGTGTGTGTGTGTGTGTGTGTGTGTGTGTGTGTGTGTGTGTGTGTGTGTCAGTGTGTATGTGTTGAACCATTGTTTCACTTTATTTTCATATTTTTCTTACCACTGCATCCTTACAACAATTTCCGTAACGTAGTCATTGTAGAATTTAAAACATAAGTGTGTAAAAACACTTGAATTTAACCCATTAATGGTTGTTTCAGGATCGGCACGCAGTTTCATCCCTCCATTGTCCGCAGTGTCGAGGCGTTCCCGACCCGGCCACACACACGAGTTCCACTCCGACCCTGAAGACGATTTTGATGAGGAGGACAAGTCAGAGGAGTATTATTATGAGGAAGATGAGGTGGAGGAGGAAGAAGTGGAGGAAGACTTGTTGGCTGAGGATAAGAGTTCATCCCGGCCCAGAAGTTCAGCCACCACGTTGGACAGCGGCATCTCAGTTTTCTCTGTTTCTAACGAGTTCGACGCTGCCACAGAAAACGTAAAGGTAAACTATGAAAAATTATCTTGTGCTCGTGATTCTTATACTTATTTCTATTATGCTTTAAGAGCAGAGGTATACTTTTACATTGCACTGAATGAACAGGACACAGAAATAGTACATGGCTATGTCACGTCAATAAAAACATCGAAGCAGTTGAGCTGTGCACTATTATATAATTGACTCATTTCTTAATATTGAAATCCTCTCATCAACATTACCCTGCAGGACCCACACCAGCGATCGTTCCTATTTTATATTAACCCAAGTGTGATTAAAAAAAAATATCCGATGCCCTTAGCACCATCTGCTCGACTCTTGCTAGCACTCGACTCTTGCTAGCACTCGACTCTTGCTAGCACTCGACTCTTGCTACATTCGACTCTTGCTAGCACTCGATTCTTGCTAAATTCGACTCTTGCTAGCACTCGACGCTTGCTATTACTCGATCTTAACATTGACTATGTACACTCGACCTTGCTGACTTCGACTCTTGCTAGCACTCGACTCTTGCTAGCACTCGACTCTTGCACATTCGACTCTTGCTAGCACTCGACTCTTGCTAACACTTCGACTCTTCTAACATTCGACTACTTGCTACATCGACTCTTGCTAGCACTCGACTCTTGCTAGCACTCGACTCTTACTAACACTCGACTATTGCTAGCACTCGACTCTTGCTAGCACTCGACTCTTGCTGCCATTCGACTCTTGCTAGCACTCGATTCTTGCTAAAATTCGACTCTTGCTAGCACTCGACTCTTGCTATTACTCGACTCTTGCTAACATTTGACTCATGCTAGCACTCGACTCTTGCTGACATTCGACTCTTGCTAGCACTCGACTCTTGCTAGCACTCGACTCTTGCTAACATTCGACTCTTGCTAGCACTCGACTCTTGCTAGCACTCGACTCGGTAGCACTCGACTCTTGCTAACATTCGACTCTTGGTAGCACTCGACTCTTGGTAGCACTCGACTCTTGCTAACATTCGACTCTTGCTAGCACTCGACTCTTGCTAGCACTCGACTCTTGCTAACATTCGACTCTTGCTAGCACTCGACTCTTGCTAGCACTCGACTCTTGCTAACATTCGACTCTTGCTAGCACTCGACTCTTGCTAACATTCGACTCTTGCTAGCACTCGACTCTTGGTAGCACTCGATTCTTGCTAACATTCGACTCTTGCTAGCACTCGACTCCTGCTAACATTCGATTCTTGCTAGCACTCGACTCTTGCTAGCACTCGACTCTTGCTAACATTCGACTCTTGCTAGCACTCGACTCTTGCTAACATTCGACTCTTGGTAGCACTCGACTCTTGCTAACATTCGACTCTTGCTAGCACTCGACTCTTGCTAGCACTCGACTCTTGCTAGCACTCCGACTCTTGCTAACACTCGACTCTTGGTAGCACTCGACTCTTGGTAGCACTCGACTCTTGCTAACATTCGACTCTTGCTAGCATTCGACTCTTGCTAGCACTCGACTCTTGCTAGCACTCGACTCTTGCTAACATTCGACTCTTGCTAGCACCCGACTCTTGCTAGCACTCGACTCTTGCTAGCACTCGACTCTTGGTAGCACTCGACTCTTGCTAACATTCGACTCTTGGTAGCAATCGACTCTTGCTAACATTCGACTCTTGCTAGCACTCGACTTGCTAGCACTCGACTCTTGCTAGCACTTGACTCTTGCTAACATTCGACTCTTGCTAGCATTCGACTCTTGCTAGCACTCGACTCTTGCTAGCACTCGACTCTTGCTAGCACTCGACTCTTGGTAGCACTCGACTCTTGCTAGCACTCGACTCTTGGTAGCACTCGACTCTTGCTAACATTCGACTCTTGGTAGCAATCGACTCTTGCTAGCACTCGACTCTTGCTAGCACTCGACTCTTGCTACCACTCGACTCTTGCTAGCACTCGACTCTTGCTAACATTCGACTCTTGGTAGCAATCGACTCTTGCTAACATTCGACTCTTGCTAGCACTCGACTTGCTAGCACTCGACTCTTGCTAGCACTCGACTCTTGGTAGCACTCGACTCTTGCTAACATTCGACTCTTGGTAGCACTCGACTCTTGCTAGCACTCGACTCTTGCTACACTCGACTCTTGCTAGCACTCGACTCTTTGGTAGCACTCGACTCTTGCTAGACACTCGACTCTTGGTAGCACTCGACTCTTGCTAACATTCGACTCTTGCTAGCACTCGACTCTTGCTAGCACTCGACTCTTGCTAGCACTCGACTCTTGCTAGCACTCGACTCTTGCTAGCACTCGACTCTTGGTAGCACTCGACTCTTACTAACATTCGACTCTTGGTAGCACTCGACTCTTGCTAACATTCGACTCTTGCTAGCACTCGACTCTTGCTAACATTCGACTCTTGCTAGCACTCGACTCTTGCTAGCACTCGACTCTTGCTAGCACTCGACTCTTGGTAGCACTCGACTCTTGCTAACATTCGACTCTTGCTAGCACTCGACTCTTGCTAGCACTCGACTCTTGCTAGCACTCGACTCTTGGTAGCACTCAACTCTTGCTAGCACTCGACTCTTGCTAACACTCGACTCTTGCTAGCACTCAACTCTTGGTAGCACTCGAATCTTGCTAGCACTCGACTCTTGCTAGCACTCGACTCTAGCTAGCACTCGACTCTTGCTAGCACTCGACTCTAGCTAGCACTCGACTCTTGCTAGCACTCGACTCTAGCTAGCACTCGACTCTAGCTAGCACTCGACTCTAGCTAGCACTCGACTCTAGCTAGCACTCGACTCTAGCTAGCACTCGACTCTAGCTAGCACTCGACTCTAGCTAGCACTCGACTCTAGCTAGCACTCGACTCTAGCTAGCACTCGACTCTAGCTAGCACTCGACTCTAGCTAGCACTCGACTCTTGCTAGCACTCGACTCTAGCTAGCACTCGACTCTGCTAGCACTCGACTCTAGCTAGCACTCGACTCTAGCTAGCACTCGACTCTAGCTAGCACTCGACTCTTGCTAGCACTCGACTCTAGCTAGCACTCGACTCTAGCTAGCACTCGACTCTTGCTAGCATTCGACTCTTGCTAGCACTCGACTCTAGTTTAGCACTCGACTCTAGCTAGCACTCGACTCTTGCTAGCACTCGACTCTAGCTAGCACTCGACTCTAGCTAGCACTCGACTCTTGCTAGCACTCGACTCTAGCTAGCACTCGACTCTAGCTAGCACTCGACTCTAGCTAGCACTCGACTCTTGCTAGCACTCGACTCTAGCTAGCACTCGACTCTAGCTAGCACTCGACTCTAGCTAGCACTCGGCTCCCCTAACTCGTACCACTTATACCTCTACCATTATGATGGAGGTACGGGTTTAGCGCATGTGCTTTTAATAATTAATTTTGACGTGTCACGTCCATAGATTCACATTACACGTTACATTCCAGAGATGAAAAACTACATCTATATATTTTATAATACGCTCGTACATTCCGGATACAATAAGTTCAAACATTTGACGGCAGCAGATACTTAAGTGTTATATTTTCTGTATTAATAGTTTTAAAATCAATTTTTTGCCTCACGTCTATATAACCTTATAATACACCAAGTGCAATATTGTATCATCATAATTCTACTACAGAAATTTTTAACTAACCCTCTTTTTATTTTTTTTTTTTTAAATTTACCATTACTTGCTTACCATTATAAACTATTATTATATAACAAATAACGAGTGTAAGTTTGTACTGTCAAACTTGTGTTATAATATGAGTTAGCAATATCCTTGTAATATAGAATTACTTATTTTAATCTATAAACTAGTATTAAATTTTGTTTCTTTATTTTCTCTTTTGACTATCATTACCTGCAGACTATTAATTTTAATTGTGTTCAGTATTAATACAACAGTTCAATATTAAATTATAAAATTTTATCATATTAACAGCTAAAAGCATCTCTTTAAAAAAATTTTTTGCTTTAAAAACTTCTTAAAACAATCCATTAGCTAGTAAGATAAATAAGTTTAATTTCATAATATTAAGTCTAACATAATACTTTGTTCAAAAGTCTAATTGCAGAATCACAATCATATGATTACAAACATTGATTCTGATATCAACCTTTTATTAATTGACTTACACGCATCGACCAGCAACTGTAATTATTACACAGCAGACCAAGCAAAGATATTACTCAGAACCAACAGTAACATAACTATCTTTAATTACAATGTCAGATGTTTGAGCAAACATTACGATGACCTCACAGCATTACTCAACTATTCCCTGCATACCAGTATGTCAGTTATCACACTCGCAAAAACCTGGTACTTCAGATGTCTATGCCAATTCTGGTTATACAGCCATACACAACTGTAGGACAGACCAGCAAGGGGATGGAACGTCTATATACTACTCAAATCAACTTGAATGTATCAATAATTCTTGCAAAAGGGACGAACATGGAGAATATGTAACAGCTAAATTTAAATCAGAAGGCCTGAAAAAAACCCTCGCAGTCATAAACATCTGCAGAGTACCACAGTCAAACATTTACCAAAAACAAAACAATCAAATTAACAAAATCAGACGAACCCTTACTCCCACCAACTGAAACAGCAGACTCAATGTTTTCTTCTCCACCATAGGAAAGAATCTAGCGAGCAAAATCCCAAGCTCAAACACCCGTCTATCAGACTACCTCACAGGCACCTACCCGAATACACTATTCCTAGTCCCAACCAACCCAACAGAAGTCTCGCTCATCAACACCCTTAAAAACAAGGCAGGGGACATAAATAACTTACCACCTTTTATGTACAAAAAAGCTTCTCAAGAATTGTTACCAATTAATGCAACACTAACAAATCCATCGAATCCTCCACCTTCCCATCAATTCTCAAAATAGCGAGGGTCACCCCGATCCACAAAGGAGGAGATCAAACAGACTTGAATAACTATAGACCAATATCTAACTTACCTCTGCTCTCTAAAATTTTTGAAAAATTAATTCATAGGC